CTCGCGGAGGGGCGCCCTTGGCAGTGAAGCGTGGTCCGGCCGCCGGCTTTGATCCCCACGATGCTGAAAGCGGTGACCCCGGGGACCGCCTTGTCCCTCTTCGTCCCTCCTCCTCTACGAGCCGAAGCTTCTTCGCCCTTGAAGTTGCTGGCAGGTGCCATTCCCCGCTCCGGGGCTGCACCATTTCCAAGGCAATAAAAAGAAAAGGAAAAAAGAAATAAAGAAGGGGGGGGACCCCCGAAGTGGAGGAGGAGGAGATGTCGGTGAATGGCTCCCGCGGAGCTTGTCCATGCTCTGGCGGCAGCGGCTCACAAAGAGCAGCTGCGGGAGGTTTGCTTGCGGTGGGAAAGCTCAGCTGGTCGCAGTGCTTTCGCCGGGTCCCGGCAGAGGATTTGTAGCTGGTGCTGAGCTACCGAATCTGCTGCTCTAATTCAGCCAAAACCGAAGCGCCGCGGGGTCTTGCACTTGTTTTCCTTCCCAGCGACGCTGCAGGCAGGAAAAATACCTGGGGAAAGGCTCTTTCCATGCAGCCAAAAATATTCCGGCAAATTTTGCGGCTTTATTTTAGCTTCGTTACGATGCTCCCAGTGTGCGCGGGGAGGTTGCAGGGGGGATGCTGCAGCAGCTGGCTCGGTCGCAGGAGAAACTGCTGGGGATGTCCGGTGCTCATGGTGGCCGGATCCAGCACATCTCGCAGCATTTTTCGAACCTCACTTTTTCCTGGTGTTTTATTTTTAGCATGGATTTACGGGCTGGAAGGGCCACGGGGGGAGTGGATTTTACAGGTCTCGCTTGCTCCCTTGCAGGGAGTTAACTTTATATTAATATATAATTAATATTATATTAATATAATTAATATCAAGTGGATGCAGCCGAGTGCATCCAGTCTGTGAATTAACCTGTGGGTGTTTCTCCTTCTCCCCAGGTTAGTGGAGCAGAGCAGATCGTCATGAAGCACCCCGAGACCCCACGTCCCTGAAACGCCCATCACCACGGGGAGGACCTTCCGGAAACCACACGGGGAAAAAAAAAAATGAGGCTCTTCCGGAGACGCTACAGCCCCTTGAAGGTGGCTTTGGCAGGCGCCGTCTTCGTCATCTTCCTCTTCATCCTGCAGAAGGACGTGGGGGACAAGGACCCGAGTGAGGAACCTTGGTTGAAGAACATCGTCCAGGGCAAGGACCAAGTCCTCGACCTGATGCTGGGGGCGGTCAACAACATCCGAGACTCGATGCCAAAGCTGCAGATCAGAGCTCCAGTTCGGCAGGAGGAACCGCTGCCCAGCGCTCGCTCCTGCCTGCCCGGCGTCTACACGGCAGCCGAGCTTCGGCCGCTGATGGAGAGATCCCCCCAAGACCCCGCCAGCCCCGGAGCCGACGGCAAAGCCTTCAAGAAGGATCGATGGACACCGGAGGAGACGAAGGAGAAGGAGCGAGGTTACGAGAAGCATTGCTTCAACGCCTTCGCCAGCGACCGCATCTCCCTCCAGCGAGCACTGGGACCGGACAGCCGCCCGCCGGAGTAAGAGCCATCGCCCAGAGCCGTGCGGGTCCATTTGCTCCCGGGGGGGGGCAAGTTTAAGGGGAAATAAAAGAGGATTCGGGAGCAGGATGTCACCAAGCATTGGCAGGGGATCGAGCGGAGGAAGGGCTGAAAAAATACTTCCCCCCTCCCCTAATTTTTGCCCTCTTGGGGTTATTTTTTAACAGCAATGGGCAAAAGCCAGCAGCAGCTCTTTGTGTCTCTGCGTACCTGCTCGCAGCCGGGTGGCTCCAGCATCTCCCCCCCTTTCCCTCCCCTCCCTCTTTTAGTTCAGTCAGCTCCAGTAATCGGACTTTTTCTTTTCTTAGCCGAGTGGAACAGCCTCAGACCCCGCTGGGGTGGGGGGGCAAAGGAAGCGGCGTAAAAGCGAGAGATTTCCTTGCCTGCCCTCCAGCCATGGGCTGCCGGATTAAAGCATCATGAGTAGGACAACCGCGGACGGCGCGGGGGGGGTTGGCCGGGGGAGGG